TGACACCCAAGCAACATTCCTGAATGAGCTCCATTGCATTCCGTTCATAACTGCGTCCGCCTTTTTGCTTTCAATGCAATGCGATGTGTTACTCGCTACCGGGTACTTTACTTGACGGAGCATTAATTTGGCGACCTATTGCAAGAAACATGCTGTCCAACTAACAAAGCTTAATTTCTGTACATTTTTTGGCCAACATGCGCATGCCTCCCTTGTCACTTGCGTTGTTGTTTACATCAGATTTTATTTTAGCGTTCTGCCAGAACAAATCAGCTATCCTCATGTCCACAGCTTATAGGCAATACAGTTTGTTGGTGTGCGTTTTTGCATACCGATGATGCACTGAGCATGCAATGTCTTTCACTGGCAATGCTATTCGAAACATATTTTATTTTTGGTGATTTGACTTCAAGTTTCTATTACGTAGCTACCCATTGTCGAACGGCGCAGTCAGTGTCCCAGGACACGCTTTCCGTAAAAACATACAGATAACATCTTCCTTGCAGTGTAGGTGTTAGGCACGCTGCTTTTATGCCGGCTTTTATTTCAGCGATGGCAACATCAGTTGAATGGCAAAGAAAACTTGACATTAATCGCATTTCGAAACCATATCATCTTTAAATAATCCCTTTCCCTCACTTCTGCTGCCCCCAAGACCTTGATCAAAGGCACCATTCATCTGCTGGCCGTAGAACAGAAATGGGGGGGGGATGAAAAAAGGCCCTAGAACAGAATGGGAACATAAAATGTGCGCGAACCGCCACCATTAGAGCGGTAGAACGGTAGAAGTGCCATCTATTGGTCGGTAGATGTACTAACTTCCGTTCGCCAGTACGGTGCTTGACACACCATGGCATTGTTAATATGCAGATGATGCAAAGCCAGAAGTGTGGGCCAAGGCTGACTGCATTCATGATTTTATGTATGTCTTTGAACTGATATCTAAATGGGGGCGTCCTCCGTGTATTTGCGGGCAAAACGATGCGTGTATAGGTTTCTATAGGGGGGGGGGGGGGGGGTCTGGATCGCACAAAGAGGCGCGCAGACTACACCACCCTCCCAGCGTCCATTGCAATGAAATTAAAGGGCGACGCGGGTCAGTAGTATTTTCGTTTGCACTTGGACCAACCCCGTTCACGGCGATATCTGGTCCTGGCCGATCACCGCACGACGCTCGGGAGCGCATACCGCCTCGAGTTTATGAGCGCTGGTCCTATTAACCTGGCACCATTCGCGAGCGCGTCGGTACGCGTCCAGGCGTTGCGCGTTGGCACACATACCAATGGCCCTTGATGGAGCGACGCTCAATTCCAGACAAAACACGTAGGCTGCAGAGACCCGGATGGGTGTCCGGCACGCGCCGGCGATCGGTACACGGCCCTAGACGCGAGCGATCGACAGCGAGAGGGGAGGGGGGGGGGGCTAGTGCAAGGAGGGTGGCACACATTCCAGCCGGGAATCCTCTTCAAAGGCAACGCAACGTACGTCGTCACGAATCCTTGCATGGAGCACCAGCCACTGCGGAGGCCAAAGCAGCGCTAAGCGGTCATGGCACCAAGGGGGCTCGACTACGGGCCCCACGTGAGAGCCGAAGTAGTTACCACTCAGTCAAGACGCCTCCGCCCCCCGTCAGACGGAATGTTCAGGGCTGAGGCGGTGTCCAGGTTGACAGGGGGGTGAAGTGAGCGCGCCGCGTCCGTCGCTCTGACTCGGTTCTGAGAAGCAATACAGTGAGGCCATGTTGGCCCATGATGCAAACTACACTTGAAAACTCCCTAGATGCCACGGGTCTTGAAGGAGAGGTCGCGAAGAAGGAACCACCAAGAGTCTGATGCCAAAAGCTTCTGAAACAACCATAACCGAGGGGTCAACCAGCTCTTCCTTCGGCCAGACCGCAAAATGGTCCAGCCGACGCGGTACCCAATGCCAATAATCATAATCAGTTCTCTCTACGGCAGGCTTAGAGACACGGAGTTGGGGCTTAAACAGACAAAACTGCGTGACTACTCGATCCTATATCGAGCCACATCATCGTGAGAAGCCGACCAAACCAGATATAGCTCGCATATACTAAAACGTTTCATGCATAGCATCCAGCAGCTGAGCATCACAAACTACGATGTTTATGATACATATCGTACGGTGCAATGTAAACGCCCCTAGATTCGCAGTTTCATATTTTGAAGCTTAAATCCTGGTCTACAGCAGTTGTGAGACGGGAAGAGGTCCCTGAAGCAATCAGCCAGCAAATGAGAAGTTCAAATACTGAGAACATCAAGGGCTGTGGAGAAAGCTTTAACTTTAGTTGGTAGTTAGACCTTGGAAATATCATGAATATAAACAGCTGGTCCAGGGAGACAGATCCTCATGCAGGTGATAAGTACGCTTATATGGGGATAATGGCTAACGGGCTCTAAAGACACCTGGAGCACCATATCTGAGCACTACATTCTGTAGCACCATATCTGATAGACTTACCATCCCTCGGGAATGATCAAAGTGGCCCTTGCCACGACTTCCGTGGCTCAAAACCGAAGGCGATATGCAAACACAGCAGCTGGCTATAGGGTGCCGTAGAGGCTTCCAAAACAGCGCGCGTTAAGCGTCAGACAGCTGCTAAGACGACGCAGAAGCTGGCCCAGGCCTTTAAAATAAGTAGGGTGAGTCTGGGACCCCGAAATGAATAGAAAAACGCTTTTTATAAGATACTTACGTAGTGCCATAACATCTATACTGGCGTGTGTAACGGAGAGCATCGTTGAATGTATGGCCTGTGCCCAATGCTATCTTTATTTTAGTTTGACGAAGAGGGACTAATACAAATGGATCATTCCGATATGTCTCTGAGACTAAGATTGCATTTTGACCGCACCCTCGGCGCTCCATGTTTGCGCAGTGTTCACAGCACTCCAGCGCTGTTCCAAATACATTTGTGCCCTGAACAGCACCACCCCTCTCCTCCCAAATGGGCACACCGCATCTGCGAGCTCCATGTACACCTGCGCCTCCCAGACACGGAGGCTGCTATCTGGCCTAGAATGGGCAAATTCGTACATACGATAGTGGCTACCAGAGGCCCTCATTTGCCATGGAGAAAAAGACCCTCTGTTGCTACCGGCCTCTGCTCCGTCCGGTACACGGTGCATTAATTGCTTGATTGCATGCAATAAATGTACGCAGTAGTGCCCCAATCAATGCGGGCAAGTGCAAAAGCAACAGTCTGGGTTGTTGCACCTTGCCGCACGAGCAGCGCGGTATGTGTCAGACGCCAGTATGTACGCACCGCACAGGTGTCGGGTGAAAAGGGAACATAAATCGCACTCACCAAGCTCGTGACGTCAGCACAGGGGCGTGCAGAAGACGACATTTAGATGACAACGCTGGACGATACTTGAGCGAGCGACTAAGACGTAGAAGCAGCCGATGATATGTCACAGCTGATTAGTGATCACATATTTGCGTGCGCGGGATGCGGTTTCTGCCACAAGCTTTTGTTCCTTGCTTCCGCCACTGCGTATGACTCATAGCGCTTTGATCTCTGGCCTTTATTTCCGCACCCGCGATTTTCAGTGCGGCGTCATGGAAGCATTATGCTACGAACGTGACTTTCAAAATTGCAGGCGCTCCGATGTTTTTGTGCAGGCATGTGGGCTGCTAACAGTACAACAATACCTTTGCCCCTGTCTTTGAAACTGAAAGTTATGCAATCAAAGCAATTCCTCAAAAAAATGCTTATCATAACAAAACACGCACAATTCGTTTTGATCCGGCGCTGTCTCCTCAGATGCAGTCATGCTGCAATGACAGCGGAGCTCCTTGAATTAGCAGCCGAGGAATGCGCGATCGGCCTGCCACCTAGCGGTACAGTCTGAAAGCTGTCGGAATGGGCGTGGCGTCGCTGAGCGGAGGCGCAGCGGAACAAATCATACCACGCGGTGACACAATCCATGAACAAACGGAGGTCAGTGCGCTGGTGCGGAAAGCTGGGCCTGCCCGTGGCTGGCTCGAGCGGCTCCATGGGAGTGTCTGCGGTGAACGCCACGCGTTGCGAATGGCAAAACCTGGCACCGATGCCGCGCCTGTGTGCGGAAGCCTAGCCGCATGGTCTGGGCATCGGCACAGGTCCGCGGGCGTCAGTTGATACTGGCGATGCCGTGGACTTGCAGTCTTTCAGTAGATGTATTCACTATACGTCGGCATTTCCTGGTATCGGCAAAGATCCCTGCATTGTTTCAGTAGGCATATAGCAAATGCTTCGGCATAGTTTGCTGGAACTGCGGCACCGACTTATGAATGTGAAGGGCAGCGCATTTCTACAGAGCCCACTGCTCGTGCCGCGGTGCGTGTGATCGTCCCCACCTGCCGCTACTGCGGGCGCTCGGGACAGTAGCGGACGTGAGGGTCGCTTCGTCGGCATTTCTAGAAAGGTGCAGATCGGTACACGCGCGTTGACGATGGCAGTAGGCGTTTCGAAGCTCTGCTGATGATTCTGACGGTAAGATCATCAGGACCAATAGACCTGGCGAAAGGCAGTATAGTGGCTTGTGACAGTTACGTTAGGTACTGGCGATGATGAACATAATTAGGCACTGGCGATGTAGGCGGTCGCTAAATAGGAATATAAAAAATAGATATAGGCGGGCCAAAGTACATCAATGTCTGGGGCGGAGTCTGCCGTGTCTGATAAGGATTGGCTGTGATAAGAATGTCTATAAATATGGCTTTAACATCAAAGTTGGGCTGCTGTCACTCCACTGAAATAGAAAAAGTCGAAGAATGCAAGCAGTGCTTAAAACGGCGCTTTATTGTGTTGTCATGCTGTTGCGTCTTTTATTCAAATGGCCGCTGTTAATTTCCATCTTCCACAAATGTTTTCGCGAGGGCCCATGAAAGGCCTGCCACGTGCCACAGATTTACGGATGGATACTGATAAAAACCGTCTGCCAGGCTATTTATAGGGCCTTGTAACAGTTTGCATTGCCTTACCTTGGGTATTTACTAGCAGCCAAACGAGTTGCATACATCTATTACGAAAGAGTGTTTTGTGACATCATAAGAGGCTATGGAGGAGGAAGAGGAGGTAAGTTGAAAGTGGCGACGGCAGTTCGCTTTAAATGTGCCAGGGCTCAGCAATTAATAGTGGGCTGTCTACATTCAGCTCTATCTTGTATATCCTATTTGCCGTCTGCACCTTGTGCAGGTGTGTCGTCTGCAGACGTGAGTCCTGGTGATTGTTTCGTCGAATCTAAAGGCTTCTGACGGAAGTTTACATTATTTAAGTTTGCCCGCAGTCACAACTCTCACGGGCCATTTAGAACAGACGAACACTCGTCGAGAAACAAATGGCACATGCATGCTACATTTGTTCCTTTATCGCAGCGCAATACATCCGTCTAGGGTTTTCACTGTCTGCTGCCATGCTATATATAGGCTGCACCCGTCAGGTCGTCCGCCATGACCATACGGTCCAGGCATCGGTCTGACGTTACAAGCTAGGGAGTGGGTTAACCGTCATGGAGTGAGTTGCCTGGGTGGAAACTTGCTGCCATTGTAATATGAAGCAATTGTTTGGGCGGAAAGTCGAAAGCACCGTCGAAAAGCTCGTTTCCGATAGCTCAGCTGGTTCGTGGCCTTTCGATGCCACCAAGCGCGGCGGGGTGGCCCCCGAGCCGCTTCTGGAGCTCACTAGTCACCTCTGACCGGGGTGACCCCCGAGCCGCTTCTGGAGCTCACTAGTCACCTCTGACCAGGGTGGCCCCCGAGCCGCTTCTGGAGCTCACTTATCACCTCTGACCGGGGTGACCCCCGAGCCGCTTCTGGAGCTCACTAGACACCTCTGACCGGGGTGACCCCCGAGCTGCTTCTGGAGCTCACTAGTCACCTCTGACCGGGGTGACCTCCGAGCCGCTTCTGGAGCTCAATAGCCACATCTGACCGGGGTGGCCCCCGAGCCGCTTCTGGAGCTCAATAGTCACATCTGACCGGGGTGGCCCCCGAGCCGCTTCTGGAGCTCAATAGTCACCTCTGACCGGGATGGCCTACGGCGGGCGGCGGCGGCGGCGGCGGCGGCGGCGGCGCTAAAGGTCAGGTGACATCAGAGGGCAGAACGCACCGGACCGAGCATTCTGGTGTATTGAGCTTGCGCTGCAGAATACAGGCTCACGTCGGCCGCTTCAGACCGTTTGAACGCTAAGCGCCTGAAACCCCAAACAGCTTTAACGCGTAGGAAATAAGCCAAGGAAGCTAGAATGCGAGCGTGAGTGAATTCAAAGGAAGGCATGACACTGTAAACTGATTGAATGCACGGCGAAATGTTTTGGTTTTTAAGATGGCATGCATTTTTTACACGACGGCGCGATCTATCATCCAGCTGGTTTGTTTTGGGAGAAAAGACGCGTTTTTGAGGCGGAGTATTCCAAAAATTCATCGCATGATGCCATTCATGGATATTGCTTGGATGGATGGGTCAATTAGTTCATCGACTAGTGGTAGGGAAAGCAAACATTCGTCCCAGCTCGCTCTAGAATGAATAAAGTGGCTGCGTTCTGGTCACAGCTCGCGTAATCTAACCAACAAACCAATTTGCAACGCGATCTAGCATAGCCATATTTTGTGATCACGGTCCATGTGTGTCTGCGGTGTTTTCAGGAATTCATGGAGTCGGTGACGCCGGAGGGTGACGAGGAGAGGGAGGAGCAGGCTATCGAGGAGCACAGCTCGGCCGGAGTAGGTAACTTTGGATCTGAAGCCACCACTCCATTCACCGAACAAGATGAGTCGGAGGATACAGAAAAGGCGAGCGCCGAGGACGAAGAAAAAGAAGAGTCCAGTCAGGATATCTTGGATATCGATTTGAATTTTGGCGACATGGAGCTAGAATTCGAGGAGGTATGTTTGGAGCATGCAGCGTTATAACATGCAATGCGATGCCCTTCAAAATGGAAATAGAACGGGTGAGTGAACTTAGAAGTAAATAAAAAGTTTTTGCACTTTTTAAGGCGGATGACAAGCAATTTAATGATGGGTTACACACACCAATTTCGTCATCACCTAGCCCTACGACTGAGTCGAATTCGAGGCTCTTCCAACGTTGAAACGGCGGTCCCCCGCCCCTGTTAAACAAACGCCAATCTATTTCGCAGCCATCTTTCCACATCTAACCCCCAACAGCATGGCGGCCAGAGAGCGCACCGGGCCACAGCCAGCCCATCAGTCGCTGCCCGGAGGCCTCCGCAGGCGGATCACGTGGGCCTCCGTGACCGGCCGCAGTGGCTTCCCTTACTCTCCCCTCTCCAGACTGCTGACACGCTGTTCAGGCGACCTCGCTGCTGCCCTCTCCAGGTCCCCGACTCGCAGCTGGCCGTCACAGACCCGCGGCTGCCGTGTGCCGCAGGTGCTGGAGGAGCTGTCGCTGGACCCCCAGCTGGAGCGGTTCCGCATCGAATACGGCAAGCTGCACTCGGCGCTGCAGCGGTCGCACCACAACGAGCGCTGCCTCATGGACAAGTACCGCGAACTGCAGGCCGACATCGCCGCCCATTCGGCCGAGGTGGCCACCGCGCTCAAGCTCGCCGCCGAGGACAAGCAGACAATCGACGCGCTGAAGAGGGTGCGTGCCGCGGAAGGACCGCAACTGCCGCCAGAGGTCGCGGGGTGACCTCTCAGTGGATCGCGCTCTACTGCTGCAGATGTCCGTCCCTCATCCTGACTCGAAATGATCAAAGGCCAGGCAGCTGCTCTTTTCGGTGGCATTCAATGCTCGCGTGATGCCAAGGCAACGCTACGCCCATGCATGCTTCAATTAGTTAAAAGGGTTACTCAGCTTCAATATGATTTACAAGATGACTGCTTTCATGTAGCTTTGCCCTTTGGAATAGATAGTTTAGCAGTCCTCCAAATGTAGGTCAGCCCAATTAAGCGTCGTATGTTTCCCACTTCAAACAGCGAAACTAATGAAATCGCACATGAATTGTCGTTCAAATGTTTATGTGTCTGACCGGGGCATGACGCTGCCGACACGACGCCACCACGCTGGACCGCCATCGCAGCGGGTTACACTGTCGCCGGCAGGAGGTGGAAAAGGCGTGGAAAATGGTGGACCTTGCTCACGAGAGAGAGCAGGAGGCCAAGGAGACGATGGAGTCGCTGCAGGGCGAGATCGGCCGACTGCACGAGCTAGCCGGACAGGGCGAGCAGATCTCTAACGAACAGCAGGAGGCGTGAGGCCTGGGGGAGAACCGGTCGCGTCCAACAGGGCCGGTGGGCCGGTACTGTACGACAGTACATAAAGCTGACCGGTTCGGTACGACAAGACAAACAGCTGACTGGTGCTGCACGACAGGACAGACAGCTGACCGGTGCTGTACGACAGGGTAGACAGCTGGCGAGTTCTGTACGACAGGACAGACGGTAGACCTGTGCTTCACGAAAGGACAGACGGCGGACTGGTGCTGTGCGACGAGACAGAAGGCGGGCCGGGGCTGCGCGACAGGACAAACAGCTGCCTGATGCTGTGCGGCAGCTCGGGCAGCTGACCAATGCCGATCAGCAAGATGGGCAGCTGACCGTGTCTTAAGACGGGGCGAGCAACTAACCGATGCGTTCTGATACGATAAAGAGCTGAGCATCGTCAACCGTCTAGTAACGGGGCTTGCTGTCGGGCAGCTGACCAATGTTGGCCATCAGAATACACAGCTGACCACCGCCCGACAGGATGGACGAGCTGACCGACACGAGAGCCGAGGTGATGCGAGAGAGGAACGAGCTGCTGGCGGAGGTGAACAAGCTGAGGGAGCAGCTGGAGCGTCTCATGACTAGCCAGGACAACAACGACAAACTTCGCCAAGACACGGACGCCAAGCTGCAGAACATGACTCAGGAGATGCAGGCAAGCGGCGCGGACTGGCCCGCCAACGGATGCGTTCTGCAGCGGACATGTCAAATTGTCGACTTTGCTTTTAAGTTCCCGGCGAAGAATTCAGCTCACTTGCTAGCTTTTGTGACACATACGGGCACGCTATTTCTCCCAGCGTCGTAGCATTGCAAGTAGGTTTGACGCGGCCACAATTTCGCTTTTCTCACTCACCGTGAGACGCTAGTTCCCGGATTTCCGTACTGATACCTCGCATCCACTTCAGTGGATGGTTGCTGCGGACGATGCTGTTAATTTTGTTAGTCACAAAATTGCACTGTAATACTCAATAATATTTTTTGAGCGGCACTCAGTCTCGATCACGACGGGTATTACGAGGCCATAGGCGATGAGGGCCTTCAAGACTTGCGGTGCCTGTCTCAGCATACCTGCGTAGCATCTGCCCACGCCTCGGCCTGTGCATCGACTCTGCGGGGCGGACGAGCGTCTCGCTCTGCCGCAGGTGTACAGGAGTGACCTGCAGCGCGAGAGCAGGAGGAAGGAGCGCGCCGAGCGTGACCTCAAGGCGGCCAGGGCCGACATCGAGGCCAAACAGGCCGAGCTCAGGTCAGGGTCGGCGCGAGACGTCCGGCAGCTGGCGCTCAAGACGGGCCCGCCACACTGAGACATGTCAAGGGGTCCACAGACCAGCGTCAGCAGGCCACACTGAGACATGTCAAGGAGTCCACAGACCAGCGCCAGCAGGCCACACTGAGACATGTCCAAGAGTTCAGTAGACCAGCGCCAGCAGGGGTCTCTAACGATATGGGCGATTGGCAGAGCTAGTTACGAACAGGGTCGCAAGCCGGGAGTCTCATTTGACAGTGGAGAAGTTTTTGAACTCAGCTGCCAAAGCTGAGTTCTCTGAGCTGATTCTCAGCTGCCAGCTGAGACCGAAGCCCATCCCGCTTGTTTCGCAAGCTGATGTATTGTCAACGCTGCTCCCAGTTCTAAGCCAGTGTTTAGTTATATGGCGTGGTAATCTTTAAAGGTTGTGATGCCATTTTTGATATTTGCGTGCAAGCAATCTGACGGCGGGTAATTTGTCTGCAAAATGCGCAATTTTTACTAAACCTGGCCTTCCTCATTCAAGTTAACATGCAAAGCGTGCACTTTGATGCTTGCAAACAGATATTCGATACATGTCAAAATTTGTCCAGACGTCGATGACCCTGTATTGCAGCGGTCACAAACACATGGTGGCTGAGGATGGCACTGGCAGTCGTGGTGGGAATGTGGTTCGACGTGTGCGGTCGGCTGGTTCGACGGCTGCACCCGCTCCCGAGTGCAGCCGAGGGATCCCCCGCTTTGGGACGGTTTTAAGTGAAGCAGTCAGACAGCAGTCAACGGGCCGATGAAAGCTTGAAGCCAGCGGCATATTGACTGCCGATTTACCTTCTGAAAATAACCGAGTGGTCTCAGAATTACCTGACCCGTAGGCGCGCCAGAAATCGACCAGGAAGCGTCCATTATCACCTTCTCCGAAGCCGCACTCGAGTACAGCAGGCTAAACCGGGGGCCATCGAGTCTCGGAAACTACACAAGCACGTAGCCAAATTCATCGTGACGAAGATTCACCCAAACACTTGCGTCTTACACGTTACTTTAGCCACCGCTTCTGGACCCTAATCATCACAGAGTCATCAATATCGTCGACCGAGCTGGCAGGACCTGACCAAGCTCGAAGTTGACAATTTTGGAGCACGGTCGTTTTGCTCGTGGTGTTTACTCTCCATCACTTGGCTGTGTCAACAGCGTTTGACTAGTGGCCAGTCATTCCGATCCCTACCAGCGTGTCTTTTGCCAAAAACTAGCGCGGAAGTAATCGTTGGCGAACCGCCGCCTTTTGAACTATTTAAATGGTTGGATTTCCAACGCATTGATCATGCCCATAAGTATCGTCAATTCAAAAGGCCTGGCTTCATAAGATTAGGTATTGGTGTAATCTACGAGGTGATAACTGGTGACTCGCACGTTCGTCGTCACTTCGCTCGCACCACGCCGCGTAATGCGCGTTGCTAAATAATATCTGATGATCGTTTTAACAAGGCGACAAATGTCGCTACGTCAGCTCTTTTCCGATGTTGCAGACAATATCAGACACAGCTTGGCCAAAACCAAGAGCAAATGGAGAAGGCTAACGCCGTACTGAAGGAGCAAAAGGTTAGTTTTCCAGACAGTTTGTTAACTTTTGCCGGGAGATCGAGGCGTTTCCGCAGTGCTGCGTTCTAAATTTGTGACTTCTTCAATCACAGTAGGGCCGTCGTTAAGATTTGACGCAAGAGAGGACAAGCCAGTTTTCAAGGGAGCACACAGTACACTTCAAACAGTACACTTAAATGAACTCGAGTAGTCAGCGATCAAGACCGTGGATCTAGGACGCCAAACCCAAACACCCCGCGATTGGTGCTGGCGCCGGCGGAAGGACAAAGAACATCGGGGAGTTAATACTCTCTCGCCCCTCCCCGCTCCACGCCGATAATCACTCGACCCGTGACCATTTTGTCACTCTTTTCTACGAAGCGCAGTCTATTCAGCCCTATCAAATACCTGGTGCACAGCCTAAGCCCCATTCACATGCCCGCAAATGTTGGCTGCGTCGCACCGTCAAACGATAAAACTGAGCCCATTCAACCGACTCAATCGCCTGAGCGGGCCAGCCAGCCAGCCAGCACACCGTGTGACGATATCCGGCTGAAGCGTCACGCCACGTTACCGCAGCGTGTCACGCGTGACCCGCTGCTGTGCCTGCTGGCAGGCGATGAACGAGGCGGCCATACGGGAGGCCGAGCAGGTCACCGAACAGCACGAGCGCCTGAAGCAGGACTACGAGGCAGCCCTGCTGAACATGGATCAGCTGACGCAGGAGAACCGGCGTCGTGCCACTGAAATGAAGGTATCTTCAGTGCTTAAATGCTACACCCCGGCCTGCTGGTTGCCACACGGTGTGTTGCGGCTCCCGATTATGTGCGACAGGCGCTCAAATATGACCGTTTTCAGAGCATGGATGTGGTGCAAGAATGCAGGCTATTTCACGTTTTCCTGACCAATCCCAGGAATCTCGGAGGATTTTGAGAGTGCAGTGAGGAAGCCAGCCCCGCGGCCTATTGCTGAGGCCGTCCGGCCGGGCCTGCCCCCCGCAGGAACGCGAGGAGGAGATGACCGCGCTGCACCAGGAGGTGCTGCGCCTCACCAAGCTGCGCGACACCATGACGCGCAAGCTCCGCTCGGCGGAGGAGCTGCAGGGCCAGGCGGAGACGCAGCAGGAGATGGCGCTCGCCACCGTGCGCCGACTGGAGCACGAGCTGGAGGACACACACCACCAGATGGACGCCGACACGAAGGCCACGGAAGAGCTGAGGCACGAGCGCGAGCTGCTGAAGAAGGGCATCCTAAAGTCGCAGGGTAGGTGGTGCAGGAAATCGCAGAGGAACGAGGCCGCGGGCCCGCGTCAAAGGATGGGCGCGCACGTTTTACCAACCACGTGTTTGATATTCAATATCATGCGCTGCTATCATCCTCCTTGTTGCTCTGAGTTGGTGATGTCCATTGACCGACGCAGCGGTGTTTGGAAAGGTAAAAACATCTAAAGAGATAGGACGCGCTCTGTTAGATTCACTCGCTGAAAGGATACGCATGTTCGCAAGTGGTGCAAATTTGATTGCATATTATTCAAGTCGTACATGACTCAGTTCAACGTCCTCAGATGCATTTGGAGCCTTAGTGGGATAATTACATGACTGGCACCAATGGCCTCCTTTCCCGGTTCCCAAAGACGTATGCAAAATACAGGAGAACACTCTGAGGCTGCACGACCAGGCCAAGAAGCAGCTGGAGCAGGAGACTGGGAAGCTGCGGCACGCCATTCTCAAGCAGAAGTTCATCATTGCCCAGCTGCAGAGGGATCGTGATAAGTAGGTGCCATTCCTCTCCATTCCTTTACTTGATGTGCTTGCTATTCGCTTTGTAGGCGCATGTATGCAGCGAACTTCATCCGGACCGTTCGAGAGATTGTCTCGTTAGAAGAGGATGCTGAGGTTTCATTCGGCTCCATTTCGGGGATGCCGCTTACGCAGATATATGTTCTGCCCGCTGGCGATGCCTTCATGGATTTATCTCCAGTCCCTGGGAGGATATAGAACGAACGTCCTTCCAAAATTAATTTTTAGATGCAGCAACATAGAGCTAGAGTTCACTCAAACGAAAACTGGTAAATCAGGACCCCTCTTCCCTGCTCCTACGCAGGATGACCACGCACGTGCTCAAAGGAATGCTTTGCAATGCCGGCAGCAAGCGCTTCTTTTCAGGTTCATCCATGAAGCAGGCAAACTGACTGAACATAACGAAGCACTGGTGGAGGACATTAAATTGAAAGAGCTAGAGATTTTTGATTTCAAAAAGCGAGTTGCTGAATCCGATTCACGACTAAAACAACAACAAAGTCTTTACGAAGCTGTCAGAAGCGACCGAAATCTGTATAGCAAGAACCTGATTGAGTCGCAGGTAACTTGTTGGGCTGTCACATGTCGGTTCGCTTGATTCGGATAAGTGCTGTTCCTTTGGATAGGGCACCCAGTGGTCATCTGCTGCTTCAAATGGAAAACGACTTTATTCTCAAATCAAATACCTGAATTGGAACCGTGCCAGTGTCGGTAGAAAAAAATGATCGCCCTGCTGTTCAACTCTGTGGGCAACTAACTACAAGGTGTGAGGTCGTAGTGATGCCACAGCAGCATCTAATGCATTATCAATGGAGCACGCGCATTACCCTTTTGCTCCACGCGCCTTTCACGCTTTCTTTTCCAACGCTCAAAATAAATGTTACCTGACCTTCGATTGCTTCATGGCCTTTACGTTTTCAGTCATATATAACCCTGTTTGCAGAACGAAGTATCCGAGATGAAGAGGAAGTTCAAGATCATCATGCACCAGATAGACCAACTAAAAGAAGAAACTGCCGCACGAGAGATGCTACTGTCGAAAGAACAGCTTGGTATGGAAAAAGCCGGGTTTAGACGAGCTTCGTAAACAAAATCATCTCGTAAACTATTTATCCGCAAATATTGCATGAAATGCTTTGGTTAAAAATCAGCGCGAAGTGTACTCACTGAGTTGCGCCTCCGCCCAAAGAGAATCCTGGCAGCACCCCTGTTCGTAAATACTGTTTTATCATTTTTGTAGCTTTCCATTCAGCCTTTGGGCTATTTAAAAGCCCTGATGAGCCTCTTCTGGTTTCGTATCGATCTGTCGTGACTTAACCAGTGTTTGACGTGACCCCGCCCCGTGTTCCATCAGCGCTACTCCAAGTGCAGAAGGACAGAGAAGCACTGATCCTTGACCTCGAACAACAGCGAGCCTCAGCCGTCAACATGAAGGCCAGGATCGCCGGCATGGAGATGGAACACCACAAGCTGACAAAGGTCACTCACTGGCACGAGTTCGCTGTTAGAGTGTGTTGCTCGAGAACACGGTCTCAGCGAGCGAGTGCGAGATCGCCATGGGACGGCTCGCCTGAGTGCCTGGCTCTTGCCCGTGAGCAGCCCCTGGGTCGTGTCGGCGGCGTCCTTCAGCTGTCCCGTGTCTTCTGCCCAGGTGCTGGCGGATGGCGACGCGGAGCGCAGCCGGCAGCGCAAGGACATCAGCCAAATCATGACCGAGCGCGACATCCTGGGCACGCAACTGGTGCGGCGCAACGACGAGCTGGCGCTGCTGTACGAGAAGATCCGCATCCAGCAGAGCACGCTCAGCAAGGGCGAACAGCAGTACCGCGAGCGCATCAACGACATCCGCCTGCTCAAGCTGGAGATCAAGAAGCTCAGGTGACGGGCAGCGGGCGGGGTAGCGCGCGCCGCGGCGGCCACGTGTAAGCCAACGCAAGCGTGAGTGTGGCGTTGAAGATTCGTTTTGAGAAATGCGCGCGTAATTGTTGGGGGCAAATGAGATGTGGGTACGTCATTGGTAGACTACTGAGATAAACCGGTGATGCTAATGCTTTTGTAAGTAGGTGCGTGTCTGCAGGCATAGTAGTGCTTGAGAAGCTAGGAAATTATCTACTTGTGCGCCCCAGTCTGATCGTTCTGGTTTCCAGAGAATGATATTTCTTGCAAGTACCGATAATAATTTCATCGGTTTTCAGAAGCAATAAGCTCAATTTTTATGAGCTGTTGTGTTTCTCAAAGTTCAGAATATTTTTTACGTAATCACATCATAGGTTCATATCATATGTAGGTTACACATCATGGGTCCATATGCAACTTCCGCAAAACAATGCGCTTTGAACGATTGGAGAAACTTAGCCGATGAGCAGTAGAGCCGTGAAATTGACTAATGGCGAAATGTGCGAGAAATTTGTGCGACGCGGGTCGAAAGCGGGTCCAGATCCCAACGGCCCTGCGTCGCAGCGGCACAAAACCAACACACTATGACGGGGAGGAGAGCAGACGACCGTACTGGCAACAGTGTGGGCTGATGTGTGCAGGCGGTCACGCGCGCTCGTGCGAAAACCATGAAACCAGCCGTTTTGGGCGTTTCTGGAGCTTTACGTCAGCTCTCGCCAACCAGAGCAGAGAAAGGCGTCAAACTGGCTCTGTGGTGCTGCCGCCTGCATGTGGAGAATTTGGCAAGAGGAGGCGCAGGTTAGGATCGCTCAGTAAAAATTCCGCCTTAGGGTACCGCGGCGCCAGCGTTTTCGGGCGGAGATCATGACACATGTTGTTAATCTATCCATTGTCATTCGCGCACCTTGCATTTTAAGCTGTCGACATTTCTTCACATATAACTTAGCAGATGTGAGCATCTGACTAGGGGGACGTACCCCGTGCCCATCCTTGAAGACGTCTCTTCCTACAATAACTGAGGAGGCCCCATGTTGTCCGGTCCATGTATGCACCAGAACATGAACGATGAGCGTCCATGTTGCCCTTGTCGAAACCAGCCTCGAACGGAATGCACTGTGTTGAGTGCATATAGTCGAGTGCATTGTGACCACTAATTTCAAGAGGCATATGGGCTATTTGCAATAGTTTAGCTATGTCGCTAGAAACGTAACACATTTCACATCTATTTATATCATGCGCCGAGATCATCGGGGTAGATCAGACCGATACTGGACGGGAGGACGGATCACATGAAACATTTTGTTTGGTTCTCTCAGTATCAGGCACACGCCTGCAGCCTCTAAAAAAGTCCCGGTATCCTAGCAATGTTACCAGTGACTCTTGAAGATGGTGTTGTGCCATGTGGGTGAGCATCTTACCTTACGGGAAAAACAACGCCCTGCAAGTGGTGTTGCCGTGTCCGCTTTACTCGCCTACCCCCACGTTTGCTGACATTCCGGCTCGCCCGACCCCAAAACCGGCGACGCCCGAAGTGACCTTGAACACAGCTGGGCTGCTGCGAAGCCGTTCGTGCTGTTCCTCACGCGACCCAGCAAGGTCGGGTGGGCTGGTCACTAGCGCCACCTATTCACGACAGACTCCACTCCAGCTTCAGGGCACCGTCACCACCCTGCCGAATGACTCGGTAATAGCTTCGCTGCAGTGACCCGGCCTTCAAAAGTGCCGCCGCCATGGAGGAGTTCAAACGGGACACAAGTCACATCGGCCGGTCTGGGTACGTGCCACCGCACGGAACATGCTACCAGATCCAACATGCGACCAAGGTATGGGCGCTCGCTCCCCATCGCATCCGTCACCACCAGCCAAGGGTAGAGTGCGCCGCCTGTCTCGCCCGCCTGGCAGACGACTCGTCAAACCCGGCCAGCAGAGATGCGACATGCTTCCGTAGCCACCATCACGCTGAAAATGGGTCACCTGAATGTGAGATCCCCGTCAAATGTCTGGACGAGGCGAGCCACCTGCTTGCCGCAGAGCGACTGAACATGCGGGGCTCCGGAGAAACGTGGCTCACTGAGATGATGGACGATCGCATGCTCCTGCTCCCCGGATAAGTCATGTGTGGGAGAGATCGACGGACCGGAAGATCTGGTGGGGACGTCACCATCACACACCGTCCGTGTCATCCGATCCCTGTCCGTGCCATCCACAACTGCTTCACTGGAATCTCTCTGGCTCCAGCTGAACTGCCGGAGGTCTCCCCTTGTCGGCGCAGTCTACCGTCCTCCTGGTGGACAGCCCCAGTCGCCGATAACCTGCGCAGTCAGCTGGCGTTCGTCTTGGCAGGAGACAAGCCAAACTACATCCTGGGTGACACCAACTTCGATAGTCAACGTTCCGATAAGCCTTGAGTAGCACCCTATATCCAGCTAGTCGGTGACCTGTCACTGAGCCAGCTCATTAGCTCTCTGACTCACCCCGGATCCAGCCCAACCCCGATCGATCACATCATTACCTGCGAACCGAAGCCGACATCCGCTGTGCGAGCATAATCCTGCAACATCAGCGGTCACGATCTGATCGCAGCGTCTGTGATTGCTTCCCGGGCACGACAAGAGCCCTCGGAGATCTTGGTCCGGTCCGCGAGACGCCTCAGGCGTGGTGCCCTGGGTCTCGACCTTCTGCATGCCGATGGGAGCTCGATCCATGAGGCGGGATCTATGATCGACAAATAGGACGCTCGGATGTCGGTTTAGGATCCCATCGTCGATCTCCACAACCCGAGCCAAAGACCATGATCCCGGGGAAGGAGATCTACACTTGGCCGACAAAGTGAACCAGTTCTTTGCGTCCGTGGGCCCGGGCGCGGCGGGCGCCCTGGCCGCGTCCCACGCTGGGAAGACCCTCTCGCAGCGCCCGCCGCGCGTGTGCAGCGATGTGCCCCCCCCCCCCTGCGCCCGGCTGCACCCCGGAGCTGTAGGCGGCATTGCGGATGATTGGCCATCCCGCGCATATGGAGCGGACGGTGTGGTGTGTCGTCCGCTCGTCATCGTATGCTGAGAGCGGCTTTTCCTGTGGTGAGCCTCATCCCCTTCTCATTACCAGCTCACTCGTAACTAACAAGGTGCAACACTAGTGGAAAGCCGCCACACTAGTGCCGCTGTACAAGGAACGTGATCCCAGTGACTCCAACAATCCGACCGATCTCCATCTAACCAGCTGTTTCCAAACCGCGAACGCGGGTGTGACGCCAGCTGATGGATTACTTGTCGTTGCATCACATCCCATGCCCTCAGCAGTGTGGTTTCCGTCTGGGTCTCTCCTCTGAGGCGGCTATGCTCGACGCTGTCACGTACTCGACCGAAAACACGGAGAAAGGCATGGTGACGTCACTGGTTACCGCCGACAATCTGAAGCGTCTGACAGCGTTGGGCACGGCTGTCTGCGCGGAACGCTGGGGTGGCACGGGATTGACGCCGCGTAGTTTGCTGCGTGACTGCAGGGTCGCTCACACTCGTTACGAGGCGGGACCAGCGTTCTTGATGTCACGCACGGGGTGTTCCAGAGATCAACCCAGGGCCCAGTCCTCTTCCTTCTTTTTATCAACGACTTGACGCAACATCTGCCGTATGGACAGATGATTATGTACGCTAATGACATCCAGTTCCTTGACGCCGACTTACGCTTGAATATTCCTGAGCTCAAACGTCGTGTAGGGGAAAACTTGACGATAGTAGGTGGCCAATTTAATCGAAACAGTTCGAAAATTCATCCCCTCAAGACATAAATGATCCTAATGAAGCCTCAGTGGCTAGAAACCAATCGGCAGTTTTAGGCCATAGTTGGAAACAATGAGATCAAACCCTCAAAGAACGTCAAAATTGTGGATGCCACCATCGATTCAAGTATTTTGTGGGAAAAACGCATATCCTTTTATGCGTTTAGTGCGCCTCCAAAGTGTATTGACCTTTGGCGACCGCATCGCACGCAATATTATATGCCGAGACCGAGTGGCACCCACGCTGCGCGAACTATGATGGTTCAAAGTCGACTAACTTGTATGCGAACGCGATATCATAAGTAATGCGTTTGGGTGCCGCTCGTTCATGTTTTATGCACCTAACGAATGGAACTTGCGGCCTGCCGGCGTACGGCTGTCAGCGGTCGCGAGTAACGCAACCTTTAGGACAATCCTGACCTCCTGTCTGTCAAGTAGATAAACGCATGTTGACGTGTGATGTGCCGCATTCATCTGCGTTGTCTCTTTTTCTGTTGTGACTATTTCATATAGATTTATGTGGAACCTAGAGAATGCACTTTGTGAATGCTCCTTTAATACATATCTATCTATCTATCTATCTATCTATCTATCTATCTATATCTATATATATATATATATATATATATATATATATATAATATATATTTATCTCTCTCTCTCTCTCTCTCTCTCTTCTCCTCTCTCTCTCTCTCTCTCCCTATTCTCTCTCTCTCTCTGCTCTCTCTCTCTTCTATCTCTTTCCTCTCTTCTCTCTCTCTCTCTCTCTCTCTTCTCTCTCTCTCTCTCTCTC